AAATAATAAGGTCTATCAGATGCTCTATCTAAATGTTCTTATCTTGTACCAAAAGAAGGAGATGCATCTTTTGATTAAGAAAGATCAATTCTCTTGAAGCCCGAGTATTTTCATCTTCGAGCTATAAAATCAACATTGACTATTGATTCATCATTTGTGAAGCAAATTCAATCAAGCATGTCCTCTGATCTTCTTGTTCAGGATATCAAAGATACTTCCTCTAAGTCCGATGATACTTCTTAATCTGAATTCAAGAATAATCTATTATATTTTGAAGGACAGCTATATGTTCCAAAAGATGAAGCTCGATTGCGTATTCTTCAAGCTCGTCATGACTTTCCAGTAGCAAGACATTTTGAATACAATAAAACTTTGAAATGAATATCTAAAGATTTTTGGTGGCTGCAAATATGAAAGGCAGTAAAAGATTTTGTACAATCTTGTGATATTTTTTGAAGATTAAAAACTCATAGTCATTGACCTTACAAAATTCTTCAGCCGTTATCCATTCCAAAACAACCATGGTCTTCTGTTTCTATGGATTTTATCACATATCTTCCAATCTCAGGTTCTTATGGTTCTATATTCATGATAGTAGATCGTTTTACCAAGATGATACATTTTGTACCCTGTACAAAATATATCACATGTGGAAAAACAACTAAACTTTTCATTGACAATATCTATCGCTATCATGGATTGCAAAAAGATATTATATCAGATAGAGGGACACAATTTGTATTAAGATTTTAGAAAATCCTATTTAAGATTCTAAAGGTGGATATAAAGCTTTCTTTAGCTTTTCATCTTCAAATTCATGGACAAACAGAATGAGTAATTCAAGTTCTTGAGTAGTATTTGAGATATACCATCAACTATCATCAAGATGATTGGACAACTCTTTTGCCATTGGCAGAGTTTTCATATAATAATTTGGTACATTCTCCTACTTAAAAAATACCTTTCTTTGCCAATTATGGTTATCATCCATGTCTTAATACTTTTGACTTTTCAAAAGTTGATAATCCTATGGTAGAAGATTTAGCAAATCGCTTCTTAGAGCTACATATAATGATGAAGATATAATTGAAGGAAGCTCAAGAATGACAAAAGACCAATATGGATGCCTATCGTAAGGAACAACCATAATATAATATGGGTAACAAGATATGGTTACTTCGTCGTAATATCAAGACTACTCGTCTTTGTGATAAATTAGATTATCGTAGGCTGGGACCTTTTCTTATTTGTGAACAAATCAATCTTATTGCCTATCGATTACATCTACCAACGTTTATGAAGATCCACCTTGTATTTCACGTATCTCTTCTAGAGCCGTATAAGATAATGAATATCTTGGGAAGAAGATAAATGCCACTTCCTCCTATAGAAATGGATAATAACTAAGAGTTTGAGGTAAAAGAAGTCTTAGACTCAAAGTAGCGCCGAAATAGGTTAGGATATCTTATTCATTGGCACGGATATGATATTAGTGAATGCACATAGAAGCCATCAAAGAAACTTGCAAATACAGCAAAGAAAGTTGAAGTCTTTCATCAATGACATCCATCAAAACCAAGATGAAGAATAACAAACCTTTGTTATAAAAGAAACAAGATCTAAGAAAAATAACATTCTACCTTCTATCTTTTATTATAGCTTTTATATATTTGTGATGAGATGGAGCACCAACAACTAGTAGATTCAATTCAAGAGCTTTTCTTTGCAAAGTTACTAGACGAGATATTACAATTGTCACAACCTTCAAGATGACAAAATCGAGATGAAGATCCTCAAGAACAACATGTCTTTCTTCAAATAGATGGCGAGATACAATGTGTTTGGTATCATGACCTTAGAAGAGACTTTCGATGTTTAGTGATTTTATTAGAGGTAGGAACAACTCCTGACAGTGTTTCAAATATTTTATTTGAAGGAAGTTATGAGGGCCTCAACAATGACCAAATAAAATAGTGGTCTTTTCGCCTTAGAATGGGATAGTATAGATGGTTGAGAGGACCTATCAACCATCTTCGAAGAAAGCAAAGATTGGAGTATATAGCAAATACAATTTACCTCGTCTTGGACTTCCTCAACATATGAAGACCACTCCTCGTGGAACTCGTCTGTAGAAGGGAGGGTAATATCATGGACATATATATTTATCTCAATAGTTACTTATATGATTAAGTAGAAGTAGGTAAATATAGAATAATTTTATAAAGTCTTCTAGAAAAGCTTCCTAAAAGCTTTATAGATGCCATTTTGACTTTAGATGTGTTTGTAGATTAGAAACTTGGCCAAAAAGCTAACCATGTATTGGTAGCTTGTGGAACAAGTTATATCCATGTAGTAGCTTGTAGAACAAGCCAATTACATGGGACATACATAGATAACTTACCTTGCAAGATAAGATATGTGGCTAACAAAGTCAATACATGTTGGAGGTCATATAGGACTTCACCACATAGCTCTTAGTTAGATAGTATATATGGAGGCAAGAGTGAAGCCTTCTTCACTCTTGTCAATGCATTCCTAGTCTTTAGTCTTATTCTAAGACTTTCTAGTCTTCTTGTCTTTGGCAATAGCCATTCTTGTTCAATAATATATCATTTTTGAGTGACTTTTTAGTTTTCTTTAGTGATAGAAGAGTGTATTGAAGATTATCATTTTTTGAGATTCATGTCCTTGATAGAGCTACACACCAAGATTTGTTGATGATTAGATTTGATACATTATAAGCCATGGCTAGAGTCTTTGCATTGTGCCAAACTTATACTTCGTACAAACCCACCCAGGATTGAATCAAGCCTTCAAATATGACTTTTTGTTCATTGAAGAGGGTGCTCACTTCTTGCAAGTGTTTCACAACAGTGGAGAATACTTCTGCAATGTCATTGATTGCATGTAGTATCATCTACTAAGAAAAGGAAGGAATACATTCAAGCAACTTCTGTATGAGGTTCTCACAAATCATTGCATGCCTTTGTTGTAAAAATCCAGTCAATTTTTTATAAATAATTATTATGTGGCCATGAATTTTAAGCATGTATAATCTATCATCCTAATGAGATTACATTGCTCACAAAAATAAGAGACAATACTTATTAAGATGTTGACAAATTGGTCATCATATACCTTAGCTTAGTAGGCTAGGACCATGAGGTCAACTTGATGTAGAGTCTACCACACTTTCACAATTCCATCACCAATCACCTTGACCATCTTTATTGAAACATCAAAAATTTGCTTAATCATCATCCACTCACCATCCATATTAATTCTAATTAATTGTGTCTTCCATTTTGATGCAATGATATCCAAAAGTTTTGCACCCTAGTTAAGATTACTTTAATTGTGTCACAATTGAAAAGCAAAATGGGAAAAAAATGGAGGTTGTGTAATTTTGATTGATACTTGAATCAAACTTGAAAGTCAAGGTAAGAGGTGTCTTGCTTTGAGCCAACATCAAGAGTGAGCAAAATCGCCCACTGCATGTGGAGGAGCTCAGTGATTTTTTGTAAGCTCATAATATAAACCACCTTCACAAATGAAGTTGTTTGTTCATCAGTACATCTATTAAAACAATCCATATGCAATATAGTCTTTGTGACATCCATGAGATGTGTTGCCATTTAAAATGAAGCTCCGCATGAGACAAAGTTGATCTCGAGATGGAACAACCACAAAGAATTAATGTCTACCTTATGCACTTTGCAATTGAGATCTTACTCTCCATTAAATTCAACTTGGTCGTTGTTTGCATCTTCGAATAATTTGAAAATTGACAATGTCCTTCATGAGTTGACTCAAATTCCTTATTAACTGCATAGAACAACATATCATCAATAATCATGTCGATAATTTCTATATTGATTATGAATGTGAATGCCTTCTTGGTTTCAAAATGAGCTATAAGGATATTTTTGAAATTTACCTAGTCAAAAAATTGTTTCTTTGAGGCATTTGAAAAGGTGTTGTGTTTCCTACTCATGCGTTGGCATGTTACAACTTCATATGTGCTATAATCTTCTTTGTGCAAAAAAGAATTGAAAATTTTTTCACATTCACCATCCGCTTTTTGTTCATGCCCTATGAGATTGACCTCTTTGTAGACAAGTTTCTTATAGATCAAGCACCATGCTGATAGAACTTGGTCAATATTCTCATCTTATGGATTTGGCACGAGGCTGAACTTTGTTTCCATAGAGGATTTCCAAGGGGTCCACAACTCCTTCACTATGGTAAATTTGATGTGCATACCCCAACATGACTGTTGTGATTGCAAATCAGTATTCCTCCGCATAGATTGCTTCATGCAGTGCCTCCTTCAATTGAGTAAAAAAATATTGTTAGGATCTTATTTTAGGGCATCTTGCTAAAATTATTCTAAGAAAATTAGGATTTTTTGGAAAAAAACCCTAATTTAAAGAGGCCTGATGATGCAACAAAAAAATCAATTAAGAATGTTCAAAATCTTGATTATAGGTTTGTAAACATATTATTACGAGACTTTAATCTGGTGTCCATCCATTTACCACTTAATTATTTAGGTTGACACTCACTCTCTCCTAAGTTGCAAAGCAAATAGTTATACAAAAACATTAAACCAACATCAATATTATTTTGTATTTCAATTTTAAACAATGCCACAGATCATGTTGCTACTGAACAACAAATTTTATTGTAATTATCTTGTTGAAGCATTTGTCTTCTTTCTATCGAAGCATGTAAAATTAAGATGCAAAAAAATACCACATACAATTACAAAGAAGAGAAGAAAAAGAAAAAGAAAAAAAAAAAAAAAAAAACACGAGTAACCCAGTTGTGTACACACTGATAATCGCTTCGTAAACTTTTTCCCCTTTTACCTCCAGCGCCTGGAAATAAAAGTACCCAAAATCAAAACTCTGGATTTGAGGTTGAATTTGTCGCTGAGTCGGGGTTCATGTGCACCTGCGGTGAGAAGGCAGAAGCAGAGTCCTAGAATTGTCGATCTTCACCACGGGTACATGGCATCGTAAACCCTAAATCCGAAGCGGACTCGAGGTGGGGTATGTAGGCCGAGCTCAAGCTCACCTTCTGCCTCTTCTTCGCACTCCGACTCGCTCCTTGCGAGCTCCAATACTCGCATTTCGTCATGGTACGTCTTGGTTTCCACGTGTTTTGTGCTTGCTGCCATATTTGATGTGTAGGCTTCTCTGGGCCTTGTTCTGGCAGCCTTGTTTAGATGAGGTATGCTGTGACACATATTATTTCAGTTTAGGGTAGCGGTTTTGTGGCTGCTGCCCCACTGTAGTAATCTAAGCCGGGAAGCGAGGTTAATGGTCGTTTTGAGGTTTTAGGATTTTCAGTCATGGCTGAGGGATGCTTTCATGTGCTGTCATTGGTTTCAGGTGAAGTACGCGAGGGACCCGGATAATTCGACCAAGGGTATGGCACCCTTCTTGGTTCACTGGATTTTGGGGATTCCTTTGCTTAATGTTCTTCCTTTGGTATCATGTCGAAATTCCTGCTTTGTTTATTTACTTATTTTTGTCTGCCTATTTTTCTTTTTCAACCTTTCTAACATTCACTTTCACGTTAAACTGATTTTGTTATCACAGCCTGTAAGGCCAGGGGATCGGATTTGCGTGTGCATTTTAAGGTGAGACCCGACCTCAAATTTGCAACCTTTGCACACGGATTTCTCATGGTTTAGAGCTACAATCGGTGTTGAATGCTGAATGGAAATTTGGTGCATGATGCCACTTCATGAAATGAGAGGGTTAATGGGATTCTGTCCCTGAATCAGAACACTAGAGAGGCAGCGCAAGCCATCAAGCATATGGAGTTGGCTAAGGCCAAGAGATATCTTGAGGACGTGTGCGCTCACAAGCAAGCTGTTCCTTTCCGTAGATTTTGTGGTGGTGTTGGACGTACTGCTCAGGCCAAGGCACGCCACTCCAATGGACAGGGGCGCTGGCCAGTGAAGTCAGCGACATTCTTGTTGGGTTTGTTGAAGAATGCAGAGAGCAATGCAGAGGTTGGTCCGAAAAACATGTGATCGGGTGCTTTAATGAATATGTTAGTTTAGATTGTTTGAATGACCACGATGTCACCTGCAAATTGACATTAATTAAACTCTTTTTGACTATAGGTGAAGGGTCTCGATGTGGACACTCTTGTTGTATCACACATTCAAGTCAACCAGGCGCAGAAGCAGCGAAGACGTACTTACCGTGCCCACGGGCGTATCAACCGTAAGTTGGCGTTGTCGGACTTTTGTTTTTTTTCCTCTGACTTTTCTGTTTCGGTTATATTTTCGATCAGTTCTGGGTGACGGCAGGAGTGCCGAGTCTCTATCTATTTCGTAATTAGATTTTCTTCTCTAAAAGAAACTTTGGACCGTGCTATTTCCCGATTATTTTATAAATGTTTTAGTTTTATGTTCAGTGGGAACCCCTGTGTCACTAACAATGATACATTGCCTCTGATGTCGATTTGCAGCTTACATGTCCTCTCCCTGCCACATTGAGCTCATTCTTTCTGAGAAGGAGGCGCCAGTTGCGAAAGCGGTAGAGGTTTCTGAACCCAAGACGCGCAGGAAGGATCAAGGACGCCTTCGAAGTGGCACCACTTCTGCCACTGCTTAGGTTGGTCAGTGTCATTGCACATACAATAGACATGTTTTTCGGGGTGATACAATCTAATGAATTGTGAACAGACTTGTGTCATAAGCGTGCTTATGATATCCTTGCATCAATTCATTCGAAGCTACTGTCAGCATCGATCAAGTTGTTTGGTTACAATTTTTCCGTTATAACATGCTTGGCTATTGAAAATTCTCTTATTCACCTTCGTCGTCCGAATAATATGATTCAATTAACGAAGAATCCTGATGTCGTTATTAGTTGTCCTAGAGTCTCACCTGTTTTCAATCGGGATTATCGCTCGGGTTTTTATTTTTATTTTTATTGGGAGACAATATTGACCTGAACTTGTCTCATGACTGGTGGTGCTTCACCTGAAATGAACATATTAAATTATCCGATCCTTCTGCTTTATCAACTTTTTCTTGTGTATTGTTAAATTATTATCCATTAATATGGTGTGAAGATTTTATTAAGAATATTGTTTAGCGCTTTTTAAGTAGTCAGGGACTGGATGTTGACATTAGTCCTATTTTTCACTGGATCTAAAGATGCGTGTAGTTTCTCAGTGAACTAATCACTTCGTGTAACCCTATAGAAACCTTTCAAGAAGACTATACAGTAGCAAAGATTGAAGTACATAGTTTAGTTCTATTGGAGTAAATTGGGGAAGATCATAGTTAGAGTAAACAATTTAAAACGAGTCCACACAAAATAACAAATGACTTTCTGAGGATATTAGTTATTATTTGTCTTGTCTTGTATAACTTCGAATGAAAGTCTTGTCACAGGATCGAATCAAATTCTTATCACCTTAACGCAGAGAAGGGCCAGACATTGATTAGTCATTTATTAGTAAAGAATATGATAAATGCTTTTTATTATGGAATGACTTAAAAAAACTTGGAATAAATATCAAAAGAGAAACATAATATCTCTTTATAATAAAAATAACAAGTTAAATAAGTATGTCCAAGTTTGGTTGCTATTTGGAAAGCATAGATCAAAAAGACAGAAAGAAAACAAAAGGGAATAAAAGTATGATTTTTAACCTCAGTAAGTCTTTCAAAGTTTTGTATGCGACATGGGTACTTTATATTTAGGGGAACTAATATATATACCCCTCAAATACCCTCAAATTTGTTGAAATATCTAGAATATCCCTACATTCTATACAATAGCAAATGTACCCCTCAAAGTTTTGATAATAGCAAAATTACCTTTGAGTGTGATAAGTTATCTCCACTCTGACAAAAGCCCCCGGATTCCATTACTTTTAATTGTTTTATACGCTGCACAAATCTCGTGCCTTTATGATCCTTCAATTTGTTTGTTATTTCTGCACTCTCGGGCAGCTGCGACCCCCTCGTCCTCCATCCTCCTTCCCGCAGTGCCGTCGTCATCTGTCCTCCGTGACACCCTCCACGCATGGTGAGGGATCCCATGTGAGTGCCGTAGTTCCTCTCCGGCTTCATCATCTTGATGTGCCCTAATGCCCCAAGGGAAAGTGTAATTCACCCCAAGTGGCCTTTGACGTCGAGAAGAGGCCGCGTTTCTGTAACTGATACCATCGGACTGCCTCGGGTTTAGAAGGAACAGCGTTCATAGGAACTACCATGCGACCCATGAATCAACTCCTCCGGCATGTCCCACTCTTGTTCTCATTCTGAACGTTAATTTCTAAGTCACCTTGCATCCCCATTGCAGGCATTATGAATTCGAACTGCATCCACCAGGACTTATGTCAACGAACTCAATTTCAGAAGGAAGTGCGCTAAAAAACAACTACAATGTACGTAATTCAATAGACATGGGCACAAGACTCTAAACGATGCTCAAAGCAATGAAAATTGGGGGTGATCTAGAAACCAAACCCAGAGTCCTTCCTCAAACAAGAAGCCGGTCACCGCAAGCTTCCCGTCATCTGATTTGTGCACCAAGTGAAGCTCCGGCGGGAAACTGGAGCCCATCCACGCGTTTCACATTTTTCCTGAGTATATAATCCTCTTTTCTTCCGTGCCAACTTCTTAACTTTACATTTCGAAACAAGCTACATCATTTGTTCGTGTAGGCTGTTCTCTGTCTTATTAGTGGGCACATTACATATTTGCGCTATGTGGACGTTGAGGAGAGAAACATGCACTGGGTGCTTCGGCTGCCCATTTACACAACAAGTGATAAGTTAATTGCGATGAGTACTTAGCTCTTTGGAACAAGGATAGAATTACATTGATTTCTTCTTAGATGCTCTGGCGCTAGAGGTCTTTTTTAAGTAACATACTCCTGGTTAGTCCGCCAACTTGATGAGAACTCAAGTGTGTTGGCTGCTGGAACATAACACTCGCTGTTGTCAGAAAGTGTACTGCTGGTTGTATTTGAATTAGCATTTGTTGAGGATCAACGTTTCCCAATCATCTTCAGTTGCAGGTTCAACGGGGAGCTTTTTAACTTGGCAGATTCTGCATGGACTTTTAGAAAAAGAATTACTAAATCTTCATTAATCTAAAATTAACTTCCTTCTAAAAAAATCATCAAATCAACAAATTTTAAAAAATAGATACTAATTATATGATATATGAAGCAGCTATATATAAATTGTAAAAGTTTTAATAGTTGATCTCAATATCAAAGTTTTGGATTATTGTTGGCAATTCATAATGACATGGAAAGTAAAGAATATTTGGTCTTTTCTTATGTGGTGTTCAAAATGGCAGTTCAGTCTCATAATGCTTGCCTGAAACTAAATAAACTTGGTAAATCTAAAATTATTTGAATTCCTTAAATACCAAATGTTGCAATTCATCAACATCTTGTTTCAAATAAGCAACAAACTTTCACACTGATTGTTCAACATCCAAAATTATAATAATTCTTTATATTTGAATCTTCTATTTTAATTTTAAATGAAAAAGGTACCAACAAGATTTATAAGGGCTTTATAATCAACCAAATGGTTAATCCCCAATTTGAAACATGGTTTCTGTTCTGTTCACAAATCACGTGAGATTACTGAGAAATTTTGTATTCTAAGCTAGTTAAATCTTTCCTTAATAATAAGTTTAATAGAAAAAAAGCTAGCACAGCAGAGCTGTCAGTTTTGATTTTTTAATGCTTTTTTCCTGCTTCACTCCCACTCTTTTGTTTGTTTGTTTGCTTTTTTTTTTTTTTTTTTTTTTTTTTTGGTGTCGGTGGTGAAGGAGAGAAACTGGTTTGAGCAGGAGTAGTAGCAGAAGAAGTTAGCAGGCTATTGCAAGGCACGGAGGATTGGTAGTTTGTGCAAAACTTTTCGTGCTACTGAGATAAGCGGGAGTGACGGTTGGGTGGTGAAACCTCGGCGGAGAGAGAGGTAGGAACTCTGTTGGATCGCTTGCTTTGGTGGTATATTACTGAAGCAATGGCTCTGGCAGGGGAAGCAGTAGTCGACTGACAGGGGTAATAGCTTGGAGGTTGCAGGGAGCAGGGACGATGGCTGTACTGCGTGTATAGGCTGGATGTTTTTAGTCTCAGCAGATTGGGACATGATTGCTAGGCCTTAGTGGAAATTGTTAGTCACAACCGGATGTGCTTCAACACTAGGCTTTCATGTCGTGAAACTATTTATTGTTGTACGAGATAATTCCGTGTTCTGAGCTTGGAAGCTAAGTAGCAACGAGGTATCGAGGAACAGCGATTTCAAATCACTACAGGATTAGAACTCAAAAAAGTCAAGAAATCGCAGTTTCTTCTGTGTGGAGTGAGAGTTTGCAACTGCAACACGCTGGACTTTGGATAGTCTACTGAGAGTTGCCGCGTACATCACCAGTCTGCCCACATCAAAAACTAGGTCGGAACCAAACTTGGTGCGCTGCAGGGAGGGATGACAAGGGGCTGCGGGTGGGTGGCACAAGAGCGGACGACGAGGGAGCTACGGAGACGGAGGACGGATGACAAGGAGGCTGTGGGCCGCAGCTGCCCGAGGATGCAAAACAAACAAAAAATTAAAGGCACATAATAATTGCACCATATAATACAATAAAAGTAATGAAAACCAGGGCCTTATCATACTCAAGGGCACATTTGCTATTATCAAGAATGTTGGGGTATTCTTGATATTTCAACGTACTTGAGGGGAATGTATGATATTTTCTCTTATATTTACTATAAGTAAGTCATCTTAGCACAATCCTTCTTTTAATTGAATAACATTACTATTGAGAAATTAATTCTTCTCTAATAACAATTCATACTCACAACCAACACCTTTAGATATTTTATGTCAATGTCAACTTTAAATTCTTCATAAGTTGATTAGAATATATTTTTGTCAACATTTGTTCTCAAAATTATAGAGTATATAAATAAGCAATAAGATTTTGTTGGATACTCTACCTTGATATTAACATCTTATAAAAATAAGGAAAAATATCATTTATATCCTTCTAATATGTCAAAATATCAAGAATATCCCTAGAATTGTTGATAATATCATTTATATCTTTCTCATATGTTGAAATGTCAAGAATATTCATGTAGTCTTGATAATATATATATATATATATATATTTCTAGAATTGTTGATGATATCATTTATATCCCTTTAATATGTCGAAATATCAAGAATATTCATATATTCTTGATAATAACATATATATTCCTAGAATTGTTTATAATAGCACATATACCCTCTACCTCGATAAGTTATTAGAAATCTGATATTTCCATTAATGTTTTTATCTTCATTTGAGCTCAAATGGTGGCTTTTGTGACTTAGTGTGTCAGAAAAAAGGAAAAAGTCTTATGTTGCAGCAATCCAAACGAAGAGGATAAAGAAATCTACTTGTAAACTTGGGATCCAACATTGATCACAAACACTGAGAATTCAACCTCAATTCCTGCACTACTGATTCTATGCACAATGCAAATCATGAATCAATAACACTCCACATGCGTGACCACTGCACCCACAATTGTGATGAGAAGGAAAGAGTAGAAGAGTCAGAGTTTGGTTGGTATCACACCCTGCTTGCCCAAGGGCCCTAAACTATTGCATGTCTCGATCCAACCTACTTCACCTATGGACTTTTTTATTTCCAAAAATGAAAAAATCTCATTTCTGTTATTGTAATTCTTGAGCTATCATCACTGTTTTGTTTAACCTCTTCTAATATTTCATTCCGCTTCTGATGAGAGCTCCTAATTGAAACGTTTGTTAAATAAACTTTAATATGTTTTAAGATTTTACTCTTGTTATCTGATTGTGTTTGTATGTATGTATGTATATGTATATGGATTTAATGAATGTTTTTATTTTATCAGTTAATTGATAATATGTGAATATAAAATAGGTGATTGCAAATTTAATGAAAACATCTATTTATCATATAAAATATTTACTCCGTTTTGGAAAAAAAATGCCAACTTAAAAAAATAGTTCATAAGATAATGTTAATATTTCCAATCAATTCATTATATGATAATAAAAAAAATATTTTTTTTCTCTATTATTTATTTCTGTAAAATGCATTTACAATTGTAGGTGCAGTGGTCACGCATATGAAATATTATTTCTTTTTGATTTGCATTGTGCACATGTTGAGTAGTTGTGACACTCTCATTTTTTTCTTTAATAATCTATCCAATGATACAACATGGATTTTTTTATTTTTTTATTTATTATTTTTTTCTTGATACACTAAGTCACAGAAGCCACCATTTGAGCCTAAATGAAGACAAAATCATTAATGAAAATATCAAATTTGTAATAACTTATCAAGATAGAGGATATATATGTTATTATTAATAATTCTAGGAACATATATACTATTATCAAGAATATAAGGAAATTCTTGATATTTCAACATATTAGTGGGATATAAATGATATTTTTTCTAAATATAAAAAAGATGCAACTTATGAATAATCACAAGTTATTTTTTGGAAAGCAAAGTAATTATATCATTGAATTAGAATATCAAAAGTATATGTGGAATCAATATGCTTCAATTAAAGATGTCTAAATGCATCAATAGACTTTTCTTTTCTTTTCTTTTTTTATTTTCTTCAAGTTTCTTCATCCACATAATTGATTGGTTGTTCTTCATGTTGGAGGGCATTGTAGGTTTTGTTTATTGGAGTTTTTTTATTCTTTAAATTTTTTCCTAATATGTGATTGAAATTTTATAGATTAGAAATAATTTTTAAATAAAGGTGAAGAGAAGACAATGGGCCAAAAGGGTTGATTATCTTGCTTGGTACAAGTTAAGGTGAATGTTGGAGGTTTTTCCTTCTAAAATGCAAGTGATTTGGAATTTTGAAAGTAGTGATGAGCAAAAGGTAGTAAGATCATGGATAACATTCTTGGCAAGGCAATGAATTTTTTATTTTCTTAAAAAGAATTAAAATTATCATATTATATCACCAATAACAATTCAATATAATTTTTTTTAAAAATCTTTGATTTAATTACTATTTTTTTTTTGCATGCAATAATTTGATGGATATATTATATTACTTCTTCAAATCAAATTATCTTTGCATCTTTATTGATTTGACTCTTGTGTAGCAAAGTTGATGGTTTTCTTTTGTGCATTTTTTAGTTTTGTATAAGTGATATTTAACAAATCTTGTAAATAATTTTTAGCATAGTTTTAAGGATCTCCAATCTATTTAATTAAAATTTAATCATGCTTATAAAGTCAATATTTCTTAATCATATTGGACCAATAGTCCACAATAATTTATTTTAGGCCTAAGTTTGAATACTAATAAGTATGTTTTTGTTTTTTTTTCTATTCAAACATATATCTATGAAATAATACATCTATCAAGATTGTATTATTTTTTTTTTATTACACCTCAATGATTTGCTTTAATATGTTATTTTCTAAATAAAATCAAAGAACCTCAATGATAATATAATAAATGCAAATTTATTTATTATTATAATCAGCATAAAATTATTGTTATAAATAATTATAAATATATTTGTTTGTTTGATTTTTCTAATGTATATCTATTATATAAGTCATCTTAGGTATAACACAATGAAACGAAGAAGCCTTTTGATTGGCCATGAAGAAGGGGATATGGAAAACTCAAGAAACTCAGTAAACATGAAAACAAATTTGAGAACAAAAAAACATGGGAACATGGGAATAAGAGAACATGTGAATCAAGCAACTAGAGAACATAAGAACTAAGGAATATGGAAACTATGGAATATGAAAACATGGGAACATAATTAATGAAGGAACATGGGAATGAGGAAGTATAGATGAACAAGGGAATGGATGAATGTACATGAGATTATAGTATCCAATGGCAAGGGTTTCTACTAGTATATATATATATATATATATATATCAAACACAATTTGTTAATATTATCAAAAATATATGCATCTATAAATAAGTATAAAAAATGAAAAATTTTAAATTACTTATTCTTTTAAAATATAGAATCTATTGATGATATTTCTTAATGATATAAGAAAACAGTAAAGATTTATGATAATGTCTTAATCATTAAAGTTAAGTGTAAAATATGAATAAATATATGTACTTTGTATTAAAAAAAAAAAAACAAGTGGTATTTCTTCTTATGATTCCTTGATTGGTTGACTTTCAACTAATTAAGTGGAACTATTAACTACAATCAATTTCTTAATTGATTAAATTCCTAGTGGTATAATAACTTGTTGAATGTTTTGAAATATTTTGATTGAATTAAAAAAAAAAAAAAAAATGTTGAACAACATTCATAGGAAAATATTTCAAAAAACCTCATCAATCACATATGAAATTTTCACAATATTTGTAAAAAATATAATGACAATCCAAATTATCTATGATATAGATTTCTACTACATGGTAAAATTCTTATAGAACTCAAGAATCATTGAGCTTGCTAAACAAATATCTTTTTTAGAATATACCTATATAAAATTCGATGCTATTAATTACTAAATAACATAAAGACAAAATCATACATAATAGAATATGAAATATATTGCTTATTATTATCTATGAAAATTTGCCTCAATAATATCCAATCTTCATAAATAAAATTATATTCAAAGTTAAATAGAAGAATTCAAAGACACTCTCTTGAATGAACTTGATTATGAAAATAATATTGAAATTTTGTCCTAAGAATATTGAAATTTGAGATTATGAAAGAGCAGCACAGAGCAGTAGGATCATAGTTAACAACAGCAAACAATGAGAGTCAGGCAAGGCAAGAGAAGAAGATCTTCCATATCAAGCGAGAGACGAAACCCTAGAGTGGACTGAAACCCTAAATTGGACTGCGGGGGTATGAGTCTCTAGCCCAGCCAATTCCTGTTTCTCTCCTTCACTTCTCCCTTTCGGGTTCGCTTGGGCGCTGCATCCCTTCTCCTCCCTTTCGCAATGGTATGGTTCTGCACCCTGCTTGTTTCTCTTTTTATTGTAGCCATTGCGTTTCACATCGTTTCCTACGTCTCGTCTTGCCGCATCTCTTCAATGGTGTAGTTTCTGAGGGTTTGTTTGTTTTTGTTTTTGTTTTTGTTTATTTTTTTTATTTTTAGGTTTTCTGTGTTTCAGTTGCAGTTTGAATGACTTCCGTGTGGGTTGAAGGTGTCAGCAGTAGCTAGTTATGGTCAGAGAGGAGTTCTATGATGATTATTGTCTCTTTGCGTTCCGTTTTGGTGAAAGTTATGGTCCCGTTGTTTACGATCGGATTTAGGGTTTGGAGAACGTTGGTGAGGTTTTGTTTGTTTTTTCGAGTGGGGTATTTTGTAAAAGATTTGGATATTATTTGTTAATTGGAAGATGCAACTGCGTTCTTTTGTTATAGGTGAAGTACGCGAGAGATCCGGATAATGCGACGAAGGGTATGGCACTTTCTCAATGCATCACGGCTTTTGGGACAGATTCTTGTCTTCTTGATTTGTTAAATGCTGAATTTGTCAAGCCTCGATGGTTACGTATCTTGTTATCGTGAATGCAGCCTGCAAGGCCAGAGGGTCGGATTTGCGAGTGCATTTCAAGAACACCAGGGAGGCAGCGCAAGCTATTAAACATATGGAGTTGGCCAAGGCCAAAAGGTATCTCGAGGATGTGTGTGCTCACAAGCAAGCGATCCCCTTCCGCAGGTTTTGTGGTGGTGTCGGGCGTACCGCCCAGGCAAAGGCACGCCACTCCAATGGACAGGGACGTTGGCCCGTGAAGTCAGCTACCTTCTTGTTGGGTTTGTTGAAGAATGCCGAGAGCAACGCAGAGGTGTGTACTGAACATTGACTCAACGATTCGATGACAGTATTATGGATCAATGAGCTAATTCATAAAAGAATTGCTATTTTTGATGTCTACAGGTGAAAGGTCTTGATGTCGACACTCTTGTTGTATCCCACATCCAAGTAAACCAGGCCCAGAAACAGCGTAGACGTACTTACCGTGCTCACGGGCGTATCAATCGTAAGTTCAGACCTCGCTGTGGCAGATTTTGTTGAATTTTCTACAATCTCTTCAATTGGTGCTGTACTAGGTTACCAAGGACGATATTATCTCACCTACTCCATGACCGGATTTTGCCGTCAATAATTGCGCACTCGGACTGAGTACTTTTTTCGATCGATTTTAGAGCATTGTGCGTGAAACACTACGCTAACTGGGGCTCATAATCTACCTTCGATGTGGGTATGCAGCTTACATGTCCTCACCTTGTCACATTGAGCTCATCCTCTCTGAGAAGGAGACTCCAGTCAAGAAAGAGGTATTTTTTTCTCTTCGGATTTGGAGGCTGTCATTAAGTAGCGTGAACAAGCTTGTCTTACTGAAAATGCCAAAGTTGAGTTCCTTTGCCTTAATAAATTCAGCAATTTTGGAATTTTGGCAGGTTGAAGAAGTTGCTGCCCACAAGTCACATAAAAAGAACCAAGCCCGCCTCCGTAGCGGTACTACTTCAGCCGCTAATGTTGCTTAGATCTACACTTTGGTTGGAAGGAGTCCTGCATATGCTATGTTGGACGCTTCAGTTGTAAGAAACTCTTGGAATAGAGAAGCATTCTGTGGCCAAAATCCTTAAATTGACTTAACTGTGATGACTTAATGAAATACTGCACTCCTTAGGTTCATTCTTGAGGATTTGCAAAAATCCGCAATTCATCACAGAAATTATACATGTAAAACCTAACTTGTAGAATTTCGGAACATTTCCAGTCAACCAATACTCGTTCAAATTAATGCATTCTAGTTTCTTTGCACCCAATTGTTAGCGTGTTAGTAGTGAGGTCTTAATCTTCGTCACTTGTTACATATCCTGTGGCACTAATGTTGAGACCGACAGAGACAGAGCACTTATTGTGACTATGCATTGAAATAGTTGATTGATTTTAACGCTCCTTACAGAAACTTAATGCACTGCAGTTATGTATGAGCGAGTGCGAACCAACGCTAATATAAATATTTAGTACTAATCGCATTGTACACGGGTGGGATTATTTAGCCTTTATAGCTCAGTGGTAGAGCGTCAGTCTTGTAAACTGAAGGTCCGGTGTTCGAACCACCGTGGAGGCATTGACACGGCGTCCCTGGAATCGTTTTGCTATGCAGTACACAAATGTCACTGACAGTTTGATATGATGGACATGGGGTAAGAGTGTTGCGGCTCTGTATTACTGCAACCTAGTTCATTTCGAGTAAACAGAGGTGCTGGTCAGGCGGAATTAATGTGGGTCGAGAACTGTGAATACGAGAAGTTGGTACATGAGGTTTGAGAGTACTATTTCCTGATTCCAATAAGTGGAGGAGGGATGTCTGCAGTAGATAACCACTAAAATAGAGAACCCCATGTCCATTTTGACATAATCCACACTTAAGCAAAAGCATCTTAAAATGACAACTTATATAAATTACATATGAATATAGTACAGTTGCAATACAGCGCTCGGAAGAATACCTAAATGCTTGCCACTCCCTTCAAAAACGCCCCTCAATACAACACACTACTAAGATTGCATCTAGTGTCACAAGAAACCCAGCCTTTTTCCACTAATAAGGACGGAATGCACACCCGTTAAATAGCGCAAAGAAAAGAATCTCCCAGCAAAGGCTCACCCAGAACACTCAACGTGCCCCAGCCATGAAAGTCTCCAGTGAGAAACGGCATCTCACCGCTGATCACTCAAACCATACCATCAAACAGTTTCAACATACAGAAACTATAACATTTTCCTCTAACTACTTTCGTTGGAAATCTAACCAACTAGGGTGGCTGTTTCAACTTCGTTAAACGACCAATCCCTGAAAAATGTACAATCTCTGCGAATCGCATAACACCGGGTCAACCTGGGTGCACACTCAGTGTCGGATATTGGAGCAACCCTAGAACCCTGAGGATGCGTTGGCTCTGCTGACGTATGATGATGAACGGGCCTTCGTGCAAAGCATCCTATCAGACAGGCACCGCCTTCTTCCGAGTGAGTAGACAACGACCTTTGAAACGTCTAGTCTATCCGGAAAGACTGTGTAGAGGAATTGCATGCCAGACACCCCAGACTCATGGTTACCCGCTTTTTGGAAAAAGGTGTTACGTAATTATGGCGTATGATGTTTTCACTTGTTACCTGAACATATCCCACGACATTTCAAGCTTGATGAGTAACAACATTCAGGATTCAGTGTCAAAATTCAACTAGCTTCCTTACGACATAATTAAGATCCTCCTAGATGTCCCTATACCGCTACCTACAGGATGATCACTACTTAAGATCGCTGCTTGGGCGTTTTTGGAGGCACAACGTGAAACCGTTTGCAAGTAAGGCAGTGGAGCGATTAAGAGGTCCTGTGGCATTGAGCGGAGGAGGCCAACGATCTCTAAACTCTACAACCATCCACACTATCAGTCTAACTTGCAAACAGCTCGTGAATTTTCTCCATCTACATTCTGATGCTATCGATTCATGTTCCAGACCCTCGTTTCTCTATACATGTACTGGAAAATTACTCCCTGCAAACAGAGATAGCTTGGTAACCCTTTTAGGAAACTGGTAAGCCTACAACTTTTAGAAAAGGTCCAATGCTAGGACGGTCAGAGTCAAGATTGATTGAACCGAAATTCTCGAAACCAAATCACAGACCACTTCCGTCTCAATATATAGTATTTCTGGCACCCAATGCCCCTTCAAAACACCAATAAATTCAGATCAAGGAAGTTCTTCTCTTTCAAGTGTTTAAGGTCTCAATGGCGAGAAACTACAGCGAACACTCGACTGTCACAATCATCACCGCTTTCAATAAAACCATTGATATGGGAAAAATAAGATGCAGCCCATAGTGTAAAATCACCCCAGTAGTGTGGCAGTTCACATCGGCAATTGCACAAGTGCAAGATTCCACGTGAATGCAGAGATAAACAACCTAGAGCTCCGCGCTCTTACCAAGCAAACGCGCTCCTTCAACTCACAAAGTTCATGAAGCACCTCCACGGCCAAGGCCTCATTGTCCTAACTTAATCAAGGATGCTAACCTAGCCAAGACATCAAAAACCACTTTTATGGCATGACCCGCCGCCCACGCACACCAAAACCGAACCTCTAAATCACGACACGGGCAACGAAGAAAACACAAACGTCTTAAATAGCCCCAGTTCACCACCAGTCCTGGTTAAGCAAGTGCGCTAAAACAATAGCTACACATATAGAAGGGGAAGGATGTACCAGCTATAGCTACTTCAATGTCACGCGGCCGTCCCAAACCCCCTTCCCTACCCTCAACAGCATCTCAACTCCGGCACTTCCGACCAGCGCACTCCCGCAAACCTCCCGCTCTTCAGAACCAACTTCCCGCCACAATCTCCTCGACCCAATAGCGCATAAACCCACTTACTCGTTCCAAAACGCTCCAACCCTCTCAGCCCACTGCAAACCCGACTCTCAAACCCTCTTCCTCGCGCTCTCTGTATCTCTCTCGCCCTCAAAAGTATGTCAATTTTAATCGTGGCCAACACCATAACACCAACAGTATCGCGTACGGTAACCCACGCTCAATCCCCCTCCCCCCCCCCCCCGGCTTTCAACCCGCAACTGTCTCTCACGGATCCTTTTAACCGCCAAAACAGCTCGATACCACGATCCGGAAAACACAACACAACTTGACCGTGCTGGCCCTGATGCTGAGAATGGAGGAGACAGCCCCAGTTCGATCACTCTGGAATGGACGGGCGATGCGGTCGTCGAAAGCAGCAAATATGGATGAATGTTGACGGTATCTGTATGAATAGATGAAATATGCTGATGGGGGTGGATTGAAGGGATTTGTGTGTCTGACGTGGCGGGGTCGGATGTAGATGGGTGTGTGCGATAATGGGTACTCGTTTTGGGGAGGTGCCTCAATCCCTGTCATACATGGCTAAATATAATAAATGCCATGTTGGGCGTATTTACCGTGTGGGTCGTTATGATGTAACCGGGCTTGTCTTACTCGGTATTACATTTCCTTTTCCTTTTCGACGATGAGGAAAAATGAATGAAGCCGGAACTTTTCGATGAAAATACGTATTCGAATATGGATGTATTATGGATGAAAGTCGGTCAGCTTTTCGTTTAGTTGTTGCTCACGTCCAAAAAGTAAGCAGGATTGCCTTTTACTTTGTTGTCAGATAATTTAAATGGTTACTACTGTGAACTCAAGAGTTCGTGAACATCGCTAATTTTGCTCTTGAGATATTTACTCGTAGACTCATGGAACTAATAAGAAATAAATAAATAGTAATAAAGTCTTCTTTTAGAAAGCTATTTGATAATTAAGTACAATGCATACAGTTTCCTAAAATTTGCACTGTGCAAACATGTATAACTGATTCAGAAAAATTGAATGTAAACCTTATATGTATATATATATATATATATATAATTTTATTATTATTATATATATATATATAATTTTATTATTATTATATATATATATAATTTTATTATTATATATATATATATAATAAGTCGTCAAATAATCTTAATAAGTCGTCAAATAATCTTAATAAGTCGTCAAATAATCTTATTTTAACATGTTATACCTTGTTTAGTAATAATCTTTGATGACTTGGAACATGTGGTAATATAAATAAAAGGTAGGTATGTAGGTAGGTTCTATTATTCAAAAGGAGATTGGTCAATAAATTGAACATGGTTTTATTTATTTACTTATTTTGATAATTTTAAATATTTATTGTTATTTTGAATGACAATTTTAGCATATCTTCGGTAGTGTTGGACCGTCTTCAAACAATTCACTGTGCTCCTTCTCTCCCCTATCACACTATTTTCATCATCACAGTAATAAAAATAAGTCGGTTGATTGTTCTTGAATGCCTCACCAGCACATGACAAGTCTAAAAATAAAAATAAAATCTTCTATGGGTTGCAAGGACTATGTCATCAATAGGTATTGAAGGGTCTTAATGATAGTTGGCTGTGGGATATTGATGTATTCAAGAGTGGAAATATCAAATAGCATGTGACAAATTCACAGTTTATTTCCTTTAGTTGTCACTCATTTTCAACAAAATCAATTTCGGTGTGCACCATTAAGAGACTCTATTACAAAAAGCATGATTTTAACACCCAATATTGAACAAGTGAATGTTTTGAAAAGTTACTAGAATTAGGTTTTTCCCTTCTGAATCAATCATAATTTGTCGACGTTGTGGACGCAAAAATAATTAGCTGTGAAAGAACAGAAAGAAGCTCACAAGTGCAGTGAAATCTTCGAGCTCAAACCAAACAATTAAAAGCTACCGATCTTTGTACGCTTGAGTGTAAACTGAACTCTCTGCTTCTGCGATCAGAGACTTAATGTTGCTTCTCACCGCCCTAGTCTGTGTGAAGAATTGTAAGTAGGCTGGCCCACGTAAACAATACCACAAATATTAACGTTTCGCCAAATACTCTACGATGGCAAACCAGAAATTCAACACAATCAATGCTTATCTGGAAATCAATTCTCCGATTGCACCTGATCATTCCGTAGTTTGTGAGTAATAACTATGGGATCAGCTCAAGGAGCCAATTCCATCTCAAGGTTCTTTTATGCAATACCGTAACTCATCTGTTTTTCTTACCACCTGTAGGTTACAGAATCAGAATTGTAGTAGAGCCCAAGCAAGTCTGAGATAATTCCAAGATTGAGAGTTGACTTGGGAATAAATGACGGTGGGTTTCGTTCGTTTTACATCCGAGTCCGGCCACCCTAGTTGTCGGTGGGTCTGGTAAATGACGCACTAAAAAGATTAATTTACAAAGTCTTCTATCCACTCTGAGAGTAAAAGGACCTGGGAAGAACGACAGGAGAGGATTTTTCCTAAATCTGGTCTCAACTCAGTATTGATAACATTATTAAATTCGGCTAGTAAAGTGAAAAAATGCTTCTGTAATTTGATGAAGAGGTTTCCTAAGAGCGGAAGGTAACGTAATTTTTCTTCTCTTGCTATCTTCCCTCTGGCTGTTCATGCTAAGTTGTTGGAGACTTCCATCATTATGATCAGTACAGCGACGACTATGACGTTTAGTGAACAGACTTGGATGTACACCTTAGAACGTAGATCAGGCTTGACACAATACTATGCTACAATTAGGATTTAGAAAAAATGCTCTTATTGAATGATCTCAAATCTAGAATGGCATGAGCAATAAGCAAGCCTACAATCAAAAAAAATTACAATTTGATTTACCACGCAGCAGCAAAGAAGCTCTAAGCTCACAACAGAAAAGCTTCCTCCTTAATCATGATTATCTTGCAAAAAAGACTTGCAAGTGGCAATCATACGAAGAATGTTACAGCAACACCTCCATAGCCATGATTTCACTGGAGCGACTCACTGGGACCTGAAATCACACGTCAAAAATCATCAATATATAGCAGGAACCTAATCAGCAGAGGTGAATGAAAACATTTACTAGCTCTGTGCTGCACCAAACCGACTCATGAACGTGTAATCCACCGCAATTTACAACTCTACTATCATTATTAAATGGAAGCTTCCGTTTCAAGCAATGTCATCGAACTCTCCTAAAAAATAGTACAATCTCAAAATTTTGAAAAATTCCACATCCTACACGAACAAGAAAAATACGCTAAGGGAAAAAAAATAAAATGAAAAGGTTATGATTAGCATCTGCAGCAGTAAATTAATTCATAACAAGATATGCGCTGCAACAACCAGAAACAGAATGTGCGAAGGTGACAAGACAGCTTGTGACCAACAACATCACCAGCAGTAAATAGATAAAAAGCTGCATGTGCACTGCTAGAGACCAGACCTAGAACTGTGACCATAAGTATCCTACAGTCTCAATTTTCTGCAAATAAACCTTGCATTGCTACTCCGCATCCTCCCAAACCATCATCTATTGCACCTAAACCTAAAACAGGACCACCAACGACCCGACCAAAAATGTCATCTGGTGCAGGTGCCATGCATCGCCCATCCCACAGTTTCACTTCAAGGTCATACCACACTTCCGAACCCGCGCCACTTACCCAACAACAGCTTCCGAGGTGCTCATCAGCCGATCGATGCCCAAAAGGTTGCACCGAATTGTAGTAAATCAATTAGTCCTGTCAGCAGCTGCCTCATTCTACCTCATGGAGTAGCTTGGAGGATTCAATGACCCGTCCCTTAGTAGCCTCATGCTCAAACTGTTGAATCGATCCCGTGAATATTGACGTGAAGCTTTCCTCCAATCCGTGCCCCGCCGCATCATCGTCGCAAATTCCTCATAACTAATCCGGCCATCCTTGTCCAGGTCCACCTCCGACAGAATGCCCTGCACCACGTCCGATTCGCTCGGTGACCCCGTCAACGACTCTCCCACCGCTTCCCTCAATTCCTCCACCTCGATGAACCCGCTTTCGTTCACGTCGAAAACATCGAATGCCTTTCGCAGGTGCTCGTCGTCGTCCAGACGCTGCAGATGCACCGCCGCTGCCACGAACTCCCCGTAGTCCAGGGTCCCGTTCCCGTCCACGTCCGCTGCTTCCATCAACAACCGCACTTCGTGCTCCGTCAGTTGAGACCCGATCTCGATGAGCCCCATCTTCAATTTCTCGAATGTGATAACACCCATGTTATCGATGTCCAGCTTCTCGAGAATCTCCTTCAACCCGTCGATCTCCTCTCCACCCAGGCGCTCCGCTATCACCTGCAGGGCCCTCTTCTTCAGCTTGTTCATCGCCGAAAACTGCTTCAGCCGTGACCGCACCGCGTCCAGCGGCACGTTCGGGTTCTTCTTGGCATTCTGCAGCCAGGGGTGATCCAGCACCTGCTGCGCATTGTACCGAGCTTTCGGATCCGGTTCCAGCATATGCCGCACCAGCGACTTCGCCGAGTCCGACACCTTCGGCCATGGATCCCTCTTGAAGTCCAGTAACCCTCGTAGAATCGCCTGCGCTACGCCCTGCTCCGTCTCCGCCCAGAAAGGAGGTACTCCGCACAGCAAAATGTACAGGATCACTCCCGCGCTCCACACGTCCACCTCCGGCCCGTAGTTCCTCTTCAGCACTTCTGGTGCCATGTAGTACGGACTCCCCACAATCTCAGAGAACTTCTCCCCCGGCTTGAAGAACACGGAGAGCCCGAAGTCGATGGCCTTCAGGGGCGAGTTCTCGTTCTTGTTCGCAAACAGGAAATTCTCAGGTTTCAGGTCCCTGTGCATCACCCCCTGTCTGTGACACGCCTGGACCACCTCTACAATGGTGCGGGTCACTTGAGCAGCGCCTCGCTCGGTGTAATGTCCTCGCGCAATGATCCGATCGAAGAGCTCCCCTCCTTCACAAAGCTCCATAACCAGGTGCACGGCGTTGTCATCTTCATATGCACCTTTAAGGGTAACTACGTGAGGATGCTCAGGCAGGTGTTTCATAATCGCAACCTCTCGCCGGACATCCTCCACATCCACGGCAGTTCTGAGCTTCTTCTTGGATATAGACTTGCATGCAAAAATCTCCTGCGTTTCCTTATCCGTGCACAGATACGTGATACCAAACTCCCCGCGTCCGAGCTCTCTGCCCAGCACATACTTGTCCAATATTCTTGCCTTCGGCTGATTCTTCAAAATTTGAAGGTTAGTGTGATAATCACCCTGTGCAAATGGGTTTGGCCTACGCTCCTTCCTGGACTTCTTTGTAGAAGATCCTACACAACAGTTGCCCATTTCAACCTTGATCGATTCACAACCACTATCCCTTACTAAACCTCCTCAAGGATGAACTCGTTACCTCAGTAAACCTTTCCACCTCAAACCCGATTCCTCTTTACAAATCCCGAGCATTATAGTTTCTCAAATGACGTCTTCCAATTACCGTAACCCTCCGCCACAAAACCACGAGTAAAAGCCTCTCGACCCTACCGCACAGCCTCCATCACATATCATGCAAGTCCGGCAAACTTCAGAATCGCGAAGCATACCCTAATATTTAACAAGCTCTTTCTCTAAAACACCACAAAATTCTCCTTCCCAAGGGTTGCAAAAATCCGAAAGCCCTATTTGAGTGTGATTCCGTAACGAGAAGACAGTAGTACCATTACGACAAAATCACCCCACGGTGCGACGAAATCAGCCCTACGAGATCCTGCCCTGCTGCATTTTAGTCCCGGCTTCACCAAGACAAAGCTTGCGATTACATTGGGGCGTGTACAATGGGCACAGATCTGGGGTACCAGCGGGCGGACAGCGATGATGAGGAAGGAAAAGGAGCGGCAGACTCTACGCCTCCGCGCTCCCTGTCTCCTCTCCTCCTCCAAGGCTCATATGTTGCCTATGAGGCTTGTAACGTGTATGGGCCCGCGAGGGATGGCGCATGGACGGACGGATGTTACTATTATTTTACACATATGGATGAATTATTTTCATTTATTGACGTGGCGTACCGCCGTACGTCTCTTTCTCACACGTACAGTATGAGGGCCGTTTATTATATGGGGCCCAGGGGCCTGCTGTGACCCCGCTACCGTCATGGTCCTAGCTCTTAGTCACAATTCCTTACCTAATAAATAAATATATAAAATAAAAATTCCGAGCATTTAGAGAAAGAAAAAAGAAAAAAGAAATGTGTTGGGGACTTTACAGAATGTGTGGCGAAATCCGATAGTGGTGTGGACAAGTATGACATACATTTACAATGCAAGCTTTTGAAGGACGAATAACTATGAATTCTCATGTACATCTCACAAAGAATAAAATAAATAATGTAGTCATTTTTATTTTATTTTATTTCATCTTAGGTAGAGAAATGATAATAAATTTATTTGGTTATGTTTTTCTTTCTTTATAAATCATAAATTCCACACAATCTTTTAGATGGCTCTGTTGGAGAATCCAAATGTAAGCATTCACTCTAAAAAGATTTTCCTTCATATAAAATATATGTGTTTGTAATGATATTACTGTATTTTTTATACAATTTTTAGTTGTTAAATTATTTTATTTATTTATTTATTTATATAAAAACACTTATGCATTAAAGATAGATAGATATTTTAACAGAAAGAAAGAAAGAAAGAATATGTTTTATGTATATGTATATATATATATATATATATAATTATTTTAATATATTTTTTGTGCAATTAAAAACATCTTTTTCTCTGTCTTATGGTACTTAAGTATTGTTAAGTTTATTTAGTCATGATTTATAATATGTTTATTTATACTTGATGTAAATTTCAATAATACATTGATTGATTTGGAAAGTTTTAAATAAAATCTATGATGGTATTAACAATACCATATGTACATATATAGAGAGCGAGAGAAAAAAAGAAAAAGAAAAAGAAAAAGAAAAGATGTTAAATTGATCCACATGTCAAAATAATTGTCATATCCCTCATCATTATTTTTAGTGTCTATTCTTTGTCTATGTTCTTAACTCCCTCCTCTGTTTATCTTATTCTTAGGCCTCGTCCTTGATTCTAGCTCTTTTTTCTCGTTTCCATTTGTAGTGTCTGTCTTCAACGAAAGAAGAGAATATATGTGATTTGAGTCAAAATCATATGCAAAGTATTGGCCTTATAAAATTTAGTCAAGTGAAAATACAAATAAATTCATGTCATTGAAAGCTAATACACAAGAAAATGGCATAGCATTTACAAAATACTCAATTATATGCTCTTGCAACCTAAGCAAATAATCAAGCTTAGCATGCTTGGGTTTGAAAATACTAGCCATCTATCTTAGTACTTTTGGAAGATGTTGTCAAAGATAGAGATCCATTTAATGCACCATGGCTCTATATTCACATCCAAAACATTATTATAGAAGGAAGTATTGTAATGAGGCGTGTAAAATAATGTAAAAAAATTTACTTGCTTTGAATTCTTATTGTCTTGCATAATTGGATTATAGATAAGTATATTGCTAATATAAGAGAAATGGTCCTTTAAGAGAACTATGATGGATATTTGATAGCATAGCATTTTACCATCAAGCAAGATCTTTATGCTAAGAATAACTACCTCAGCAAGAGATAGTGATTTTGTTACAAGCATTACCTTTAAAGTATAAATTTTAATTTCCTTTTGTTCTAAGCTTTTTGTTGTTAATCTTCCTACAAATTCAATTCAAAAATCTAGAAGGTGTCTATAAAAGCCCCAAATTTCAATCCATGGCTATGCAATATAATACATATCATGTAATACAAAACAAAAAGGTATAGAGGTGAAATAAATATAAATACCATTTGAGAGGTAGAATTTTCATGCTTTATTGCGAGTTCTTCTTCTATTTGCAAGCAACATTTTCAGAATTTTTAAGCATTCAATTTGCTTCCCTACGTTTTTGAAAAATAGAAAACTCTACATTCATTCTTTAGAACTAGCCAACTTCTTTTGCAATTTTAATTCTTCAACAAATGTTAGGAATGGTGTTGTATGATAATACAACTATATGTGAAAAATAAAAAAATGAATGTTATTATAGAGGAACCTAATAGAAAGATGTAGTAGAAAAATAATGATAAATTATAAAAAGGTAGTAAAAAGTTTAGTCTTATTACTACCTTTTATAGAAAGAGCTTCTATTTGCTTTGTAGAAGTATAAATGAGCTAAATCAAAATAAATGAGACAAGAAATTAATATATGTATATTTAAGAAAGAATTAAAAATAGATTAAAGCAAAATTTACATCAAATTATCAAAATTTGATATCTTGAGAGGACTAATTGTCAACTGAAGTCAAAATTAGACCTTGAGGTACAAAACCACGTGCCTATGACAATTCTAGGATCTTTTGCAAATTAAAGAGTCAAATTTGAGAGAATAATTGATTTTTTTTTGGCATTAATTTTATATTATTTAGATGAATATTGAAAGTTTGAAAGATTTTCAAATTTAGTGATGTTTTCAGGTAGTTTAGATTCTGAGAAATAAAATTATGTTTATAAATTTGAAAATTTCTTAAGTTTTGTGGCATAAGTATAAATGAAATTTTTGCAAGCTGTTTTTTTGCTTATTTTTAATGTATGTGCAAAATTTGAGGTCAATTAAGTAGTTGGATTGAAACATATGAAGGTTTTTGTGGATTACAGTCTCAAAAATTTGAGATTTAGTGTCAGTGAGTGATTTTAAGATGTAGCAATATTTGCAAATTGAATTGAAGAAATATTTTGAAAGCTCACTTAAGACTTGAATATCTACACATAGTTTGATTTTTTGGAATAATTGAATAATTGAGGAAGAAGAAATTGGTGTTGAAAGATCAACATTTGAGTTGGAGAAGTATGATGGCCAACAATCAAGAGGTTTTGAGAGCTTTTCTTGCAATTGGTAAGTTTGATTCTTTTCAAACTTTTTATTCTTGTTAATTACTTGTTGTTTGAAGTGTGGATAAAATTTTAGTTAAGATCTATAATTTAATCAACATTAATTGAGGTTTCAAATAGCTAATAGTAATTAATTAAAATTTACTTGGGATTCTCTTGGAGTTGTTTAAGGTTTTGGATTTCCTTAGATTTTTTTTTTAAGATTAAGATTTAGAATTTGTTGAGGATTTGATCTAGGATTTAATTATGGTTCATTAGGATTTTAATTAAGATTTTAATTAGCATTTGATCTTAGATTTGGTTAAGATTCATTAGAATTTTGGTTAGAGTTAAACTAAAGTTGATTAAGATTTACTTAAGATTTATTTAGAATTTCTATTTTTAATATTTTAAAAGAATTGTTGATTATTTTTTTTTATAAAATTTCTATTTGTAGAATTTCTTTAAGCTTATTTTTATTTCTTTATAATTTTATTTTTATATTTTTTAAAGATTTCTTTATTTTCTTTCTTTGAAGTTAAATTATGACTTCTTTATATTTCTTTTGTGACTTCTTTTAAATTTATTTTGATTAGTTAAGATTTTATTGGAATTATTAAGAACTACTTGAAATTTATTTAGGATTATATTAGACTTGGTAGAATTATTGTTGTATTTCTATTTATATTCTATAATTAGGTGCTTGGTGCATTTTCAAGCAACAATACACATAATACAACAATAGAGAAAAAGAAGAGGTTGAAATGGGAGAAAAAGGTTAGAAATAAAAAGAATAAGGACAAAAGAGGGAAGAAGAGAGACATACAATGATGATTTTGATAGGTTTTCAAAAGTCAAGGTTAATTTAATATTCCTATATATATATATATATATATATATATATATATATATATCTTAAGTATTATAAAACTTAAGTTTTTAGATTTTTTAAAAATCTAGAATTTAAATTAATTTAAAAATTTACAAGCCTTGTAAATATTTTACATAAAAATAAGATTGAAAATATCTTCATTTTTGGAATTTTTTTTAGATTTTTATTTAAATTACGAATTATAAATCTTTTAAGTCTTGGCATGGCCACTCAATTAACTTGAAATATTATTAGTATTATTATCATTATTATTATAATAAAATATTAATTTTTATTAATATATTAAATTATATCTATGATAGTTTGATTAGATTGGTTGAAAAAATATTAAAATTATATGCATATATATAATTAAATTTATTGAAGTCAACATCAATAATTTAATAATTTTTTAATAAAGTTTTTTAGTTCTACATAAATTATAAAATTAACTACTATTTTTTTTTTGTATTACATGAAATTGGTATATAACATATTTTTATAATTTTTTTTATAGAAATAAAAGATATTACAATACAAATGTAAAAAAAAATATATGAATTGAAAAATATAATACAACTAATAAGATTCATGCTACCTATTATAGACATTCAACAAGAAGATTATGTAAATATTCTTTGAATATTCTATTAAATTCTAGAAGTTTTTAGAATATTCTTAAAATATTTAAATAAAAATATTTTAAAAAGATCAATAGAATATTCTAAAATATTCTATAAGGTTTTTAGAATACTTTAATTGTTATGTAAACAAAGATTGTTACATAATACATTAAGTGCTACAAACAAATCATAAAGTATGTAGTTTAAATCAAATACAAATGTACACCCAATATAATTTCAAAGAAAGATTAGAAATCTATATTAAACTAAGTCAGATTATCTTTCTTACCACAAAAGAAGAATCCGAGAGTGCAAGTGTGAAATTTAGAAAAACCCTAATACTTTATTAAAATGGCTAAAATACCATAGCCAAGCAAACTCTTACAAGTTTTTTAATTCTCAAAATCACTCATAAGACTTGACTTGACAAGAATATCAAGTCAAGGATTTTTTTTTTATTTATTTAAGCATTCAAATCTTAATTGATATGAATAAGTCAATTTACAAAAAAACTATCAATGGATG